AAATGTATAAAATCGATCAATTCATTGCAAAGAAAGTATCAATGCAGAAAGTCCTTTTAAGTTGCACACCAAAAGAGAACAGTTGGTGATGCAACATAATTAAACGGACACACAAGTCAAGAATTACTTTGTGACCTCCAGCTGTCAGTGCGAATGCACTTTTAGGTTCACACTTTCAGATGCATCTCACTCGGTACAGTTACTAGGAAGCACAAGGTGTTGGAAGACATCACAGGAAGACAGTGATTTATATGAGTGACACAAATTGTTTTCTCAGTGCGTTCACGTTGACAGCTGTTTGCTGTGACAAAGTAACCAAAAGTTCCGCTAAAGTTGGTGATTTAAATGACTGACAGCAACAGTTGCCAATACAACAGAACAGAATGGAGTTCAGTTTTATGCAAATGCATGTTATGTGGCAGCTACCTAAAGTTTCACGTCATGATGCAAATGGAAATAGCAGTCGAGCAAAAATGCCTACCGGTGACCACTTAGCTCTCAGTACACTCAGGAAGTTTCCTTGTGTGCAGCACTAATGCAAAGTAGACATCATAATAGTTTGTATGTGAGACAACTTTGTGTTCACAATCGGCGTTCTGACAGTGATTCATCATGGCAACACATTTGAAAGTCATTTAAGTCGGCTACATGACAGAAGGCAACAGTTGGAAATGAAACTTTCAGCTTTCTCCATTGGAAGTCGCAGCATCACATCACTTTGCATTTGCATAAAGTTGTGCAGAACTGGATGCAAATGTATACAGCAGTTGATCAGCAACGCCTACTACAGACCTACAGTTAAAAAAAAACCCTCCAGCGATTCCCTTCATCATTCAGAACGTATGGCCACACAGTTGGCTGCAAATGTCTCAGCATGGTTAGAAAGTTTACTCACAAAGCAGACACAGGAAGTATAGTTCATGTATGGAATGCAAAACAATTCTCAAAGTGATTTGCTTTGTCAAAACAACATAAAGTCATTTAAGTTTAATTACAGTTCTGTTAACTAAAGTTGATGATGCACTGGTGTTATATATCACATCAATGTGCATAATGGATAAGGAAGTTGAGTAAGAATCTCTGGTGATGTAGTCAATCTCAGTGTTAATGTATGATCACAACTTTTGAAGCATTGCTCAGTAAAATTAGGAAATTTCCATTTTTTAAAGCCTAGGACCCACCAAGATTATGTCAAAGAACTAGCATTGAGGGCGAAGCAGTGGCACAGTAGGTAGTGCTGTTGCCTCACAGCACTACCTACTTGACACAGAGTCAATCGGGCCAGATGCGGCGGCCGTAAGTGAGCCGACGCTGCAACATCCAACCCAGAATCGGCCCGCCAATAATGTGCGCCGTGGCCCGGAGCTGGCGCGACTCAGTCTTCATATACCTTCATATAAAACCTTTTTGTATTACATTGGTACTTGATACATGGTTTTATGCTGGATAGGTAGGAGTACGGCAGCCGGAGTCTCCGGCAGGCGAGAATCTAGCCGGAACTGGCCCGAGTGTATTTACTTGGGGTGCGTTGGAGTGTGTTGTGAGCACTACCGGACTCAGAGGGGTGCAGAAGAAGCACGTGCTGTAATAATTTTTCCTGGTGAAACGAGTGCTTGCAGGATCGGGAAATCCCACATTCAGGGAATCCAGCAAACTTTCTGATCACAGCCTTAGGAGAAATGTTTCCTAACAACAAAACGCTGGCTAAAGTGGCGTTAGTTAATCCGGTCTTTGGTCACGAGAAGTCGACTTTCCGAGGCAAATACAGTCTCCCTTGATGCGTTTGATTACGCACAGGCAAGCACCCAGTTCAGGTCGACGCAGGAGGAAGATATGAGTTAAGGCAGATAGAAGTTTTTGTTCATTTGTCAAATCAATGAATGAATAATTTAGCCTATATGCTCGTCGTACAAGTTCATTATCAAATTATGAATGACAAAAAGCAACCAGAAAGTCTGCAAATTAAATAACGATCAATAATAAGTTATGACGGAAATTTTACAACCCTCTCCGTCAAAATGATGGACAATGAGAAAGTTTAACGTGACCTCTGGTCAGCATACTGTCTTCTAAGGCTCAAGTCATTTATTAAATGAAGACAAGATTCAAGCAGCTTCTCCTACCACAGCAAATTCTGTTTTTACTACTGATATTTGGCGCCAGTTAAGTGATGACGTGATGATTTTGTTCTCTTTAACTCGTTGGATGGAAACGCTGCTTTATTTGCATGTCTTATATGTGATATTCCAGTTATGCACATACATTTAATTTGCATTTTTGGAAAAAAACATAGTATATTGATTCATCGCTGAACAGCCAATCAGAGCTCTCTCATTTACTGATGGCTAAGGTCAATTCTACATGCGGAATCTGGCAAAATCCTTACATGACCCAAACAAGAAGCAATGTGTGGAACAAACAAAACATGACACAGACGGCCCAATGCTGCCCAATGGCTGACTGAAGACACATGCTTTCCTCTCCTAATGCACCAGACACT